CCTCTCAACACAGTTGGTTTCACAATCAATAATGACCAATTGGTCTGTGAAATTTGGGAAGTGTTGTTTGATTTATGTTCTTGACAAAGGTTACTTTAGGGGGAAAAGGAACAAAAAGCAAGCAGAACAGACACTGAGGACTGGGAGGCATTTGATCAGGTCTGCAGATTTTACAAAGGTGATTTCATTGAATTGGATACTTAACATAGACTATCAATTAAGAGATGATCTGTAATATTAACTCACTATTTATCAATGTTGTTAAAAATAATAAACTTTGCTGTAAAATTAGCAGGGATCAATCTAATACAATGGCATGCTCATGAGCACACAATATTAATAATCCCATTACTTCCTGTCTCATAAATTTGGTACTTGTATGAAATGCCATAAGGAAAATCACTACTCTGCATGCTTACTTAAAATCTTAATAAATGGGCTGGAGAGGTGGTTCAGCAGTTAAGAGAACACATTGCTCTTGCAGAGGCCCCAAGTCTTATTCTCAGCCTGGAACACCAGGTCCAGGGATCCAACAATCTCTTCTGGTCTCTGCAAGCACCAGCATGCATGTGTGCTCACACATGGGAGAGTGCACACATGGACACATACAAAATTTAAAATAAAATGTTAAAAAATAAAATACTGATAAAAATTAAAAGTAAGAAGAAATTTGATACCAATAACAAACAGGCTCCATTCATTAACACTCATCCACTAAACACGGGGCCACTGGAGAGGGCAGAATTAACATATACACAGAAACAGCTCAGGAAGTTAAATCTGAGAAGGAATATTTTTGGTATTTTAAGAACTATAAGCTGCCAAGCACAGTGGTGGCGCACACCTTTAATCCCAGCACTCGGGAGGCAGAGGCAGGCAGATTTCTGTGAGTTCGAGGCCAGCCTGGGCTATAGAGTGAGTTCCAGGAAAGGCACAAAGCTATACAGAGAAGAAAAAACAAACAAACAAACAAACAAACAAAAACTATAAGCTAAGAGTCCATCTACAAAAACGTAGACATTGCCTGTAGGTCTTTCTATATAGGAAACTGACCTTTTGACTGTGCATTTTCCTTAGTTCTCTGTTTACTCGGGAAGCCAAACCACAGTGTATTTACGAACATTTGGGCGATTCCAAACACCTCAGAACTTTACTACAGTTGAAATGCCCAGGTATCATCATCTACTTAAAGAGCCCCATTTCCAGCACAAGCCTTCTGAGGGAGTGACTTCAGGACAACTTCAACGAGCCAAGAGCCAAGTGATGAGGCCTCAGGAAGTGATGGAAGAGGAATTCACATGGGAGTGGGTCACAGAGACCAGGGAGGAAAGGGTCAGCCTGAAGTCTCTCCTGGGCGTGGCTAATCCCTTCTAAGAGGCAAACTCATTGAAAGGAGGACAAATCCAGAGGCAGGAAAAGATTACGGTTTGGAGGAAAGCCTTTCGACGATCCAGGTGTCTCATCTCCCACCCAACCGCTTCCATGTTAGAAGAAATAAACGTAACTGCTCAGGGCTGGAGGGGAATGCACGCTGTGTACGTCACTTTGCACTTGTGTCTGCTGACTTCGGGTTTAATGCAGACCACTGGAATAAACCCGTCCTGAGAAGCAAGCAGTCTCAGAAACTTCACATCCTACCTCCTCACCTGTCATTGCAAACACAGTTCTGGACCTCCGTGCATTGAAGCCATGAAACTCTAATGTTGGCACAAAAACGTGTCATCCCATGCGTGCTCTACCGACTGAGAAATCCAGAGGTGACAGAGCCTGCGTTTTTTAGACACGGTGTCAATACTGTTTGTGTCCTAGTCAGAGTACTCTCCGTCGCTTAACTAACTAAAGTATTTTAAAAGTACCTCCATTCCCTAGAGGCCAGGCTTCCGGAGACTTCAAGAACTGGCAAGAAGGTATATACTCTTAGATTTAGAAATATGTATCCTGCAGCTACAGTGAACAGGTTATGAATGCGGAGGAAAGATGAGCCTCGGTCAAAACCCAGCTTTCAAGGCTGGTCAGCTTGGTGGTCAGAGGCACCTGCCCGTTGGCAGTACCTCTAAAATCTATGTACCGGAATCAGAACAAGGGAGCCAGGAAGAACAATCCAGAAAGGGAACACTAGGAGACAGAAGGACAAAATAAAGCAGGGAAGAGAGAGAAGAAAAGCCAGCAAACAGACTTGGACCCCCACAGAGAGCCAGCAACTAAGGGCTGGTGAAACCTAGTCAGTGAGCGCGGCCACTCTGGAAGCCAGAAGCCAGTGAGACCACAGAGGCCCTGGCTTCAGCTGCAGAGCTGCCAGTCAGGCTGGACAGGACTGTGTCCAGGAGTGGGAAGAGAGGAAAGAGAGAGGAAAGATGACAACCACTTAGTTCTGATGAGCAGAGTTTCTTGGCAGAAGGAAGCAGGCAGGTCAGAGTCGATTAATTTCCAAATCGGCTGCTGGTCTATGACAGCAGGCCAAGCTGCAGTGCCCAGCAGCGGAAGCGGAGTACCTACTTACACAGGCCATCCTGATACAGGACCTCAGGGGCCCCGGAGAACCCAAGGAGAGCTCAGGAGGTGCAGGGGCACAGATGGGCAGGACTAAAGCAAAGCAAAAGTAACTAAGGAAATATATCTGACTGAGCTTAGAATTTCAGAGGTGATGATGCAGTAGTTATTCTGAAACATCATCTATGGAAAAGCAAAGGTAAACTGGACACAGGTCTGTGCCAGGCTGCACTCAGGGGGAAGTCTTCCTGTGGGAGGAAAAGAAGGACCAAGGAGAATAGAAAGAATGAATATGATTAAAGTTGAGTATATGAAGCATAGAAATGTTCTAATGAAGCCCTTTACTTTATACAATTTAATACATGCTACTAAAATATATTCTCATAGAGCAGGCAATGCTGAGGACTGAAGCCAGGGTCTCACACATGCAGGGACCTAGGGAAGCGCCCCACTTCTGGGCCACACCCCTAGCCTTCTCTCCTTACTTTCAGACAAGGTCTCACTCATTTGCCCTGGCCTTTGTTCAAACCTGCAATCCTCCTGACTCAGCCTCTCAAGTAAATTGGGTTATAGGCCTGTAAGTAAAACTAAAACCAGAAGAATATTTCCATGTATGATGCTATTTTCTACTTATAATATGAAACAGCTGGTAATAGTTGAAAATGTGGTGCTAGAGCATTCAGGGTGAATTATTAAAAATGGCCCAAAGGAACGCCCCATCTCCATGGTTCTGACTTACTGGAGGTTTTGGGAAACTTGAAAAAGGACTATTTTATAACTTCAGGCTTTTCCTGTTGGTAGAAAAGCCATTCTATGCAACACAGAAGTCATACTTAGGCACAACGTTCATGTTTACTGTTAGTTTTCATAGCCCTAGAGGATGTCCTGGTTTAACCTGGGAACCATGGATTACTTAGAAAACACACTGTTTTATCACCAAGAGGTTCTAGGAGGAAAAAAAATGTCTAATATCATAGGAAAAGGCAAAAGTAATAAAATACAAAGTTATATAATTAAATAAAAGCAAAATTAAGTTTAGATAGTGAAATCAAGAAGTTGAACATTGGGTATGTAAGACATTCCGTGACTGTGACGTCTTTTCCCTATAAAAGATAATAAATAATCCATACTTATTAGCAGTTTACCCTTAGTTGGTGGTATTCCTTATTTTCTATCTGTATGAAAAGTCAATGCAGGAATATTTTCCCTTCCCTAATTTTTTTCAGCCTAGGTAACAGTGGTCTTCAAGTGTCATATCTATAAGGACCTTTTCTAAGATAGTTGTTGATCTGGTAAGTAACCTGAAAAAAGGAATTAAATTTGTGATTGGAAAAGCCCTCCATTCTAAAAGCGCTGAATTTAGAATAAACCAACATAACTGCCCAAGTGTAAGGCTCTGGAAGAAAAAAAACAAGCCATATTCCAAGAAAGGACGGGAGCTTAGTAGCTCCGAAAATGATTAAATAAAATGATTAAAGCTTATTCCACATCATTTTAATTAGCAAAGATACTGCATGAAATTAGCTAAAGAAATGTAACAGACAGAAATGTGAACCAAAAGAACTGCCTTCTGCATTAAAGAGGCAGGTAGGTAGTTTGTGTGTGTGTGTGTGTGTGTGTGTGTGTGTGTGTGTGTGTGTGTGTGTGTAAGCTCATAGTAACTATGCTATTATTCTATTTTATAAAACCACACCTAAATACTTAATTTGCTTTCGGGTCTTAAAAATAAAAGTTATGGACTGATAATCTCATAACTAAGACAATTGCTAATGGGGAAGGGGTTGGTACAGAAGGATGAATGCTTTATCATTCCCATTATCTAAAGGTAAATATGACATGAGAAGTCATACTGTAGACATAAAGTCAATTTATAAAGACTAAGTTGTCTCTAAAACAACTTCTAACTCAGTGAAAAGATGGAAAAAAAGTTAAGAATCCACCAACGGGCTTGAGAGATGGCTCAGAGGTTAAGGGCATTGGCTGCTCTTCCAGAGGACCTGAGTTCAAATCCCAGCAACCACATGGTGGCTCACAGCCATCTATAGTGAGATCTGGTACCCTCTTGTGGCCCACATGGACAAATGCAGGCAGAATACTGTAGTGGGTAACCATTCCAGCTTGGTTCTGGAAGTTCCAACCCCCATTGAGACTCTGGCAACTGTCACGCCTACGAGGCGGGGCGAGGGGAGGCGCCTGGGGACCCGAGAGCTGGATGGGCCAGCGCTCTCTCTGGGTGCTCTCTCGGTGCCGGGACGCTGACCGGTGCAGATTGACTGTGCAGAGCTCCGGAGAACACCGCTGGACTGCGTTACACCTTCCCCAGACCCTGCGACCTACCCATTACTTAATTTGTGAGTTACGCCATTAAATAAATATCCTTTTAACTACGTGGAGTGGCCAAAATAATTTCTCCAATAGAATACTGTATACATAATAAATAGATAAATTAAAAAAAAAAAAAAGAATCCACCACCAAGTCTCTGTGACTGACAGCTGTGCTGTGTGCTTACCTTGTATGTTGTATAGTCGGACTTTATGAATCACGTGTTCCAAGAAGCAGGTCACTTCTGAATAGAGCCTTCCACGTGTCACTCTGACAAGGGGTGGCCGTTGAGAAACATATGGCTGAAGAGGAAAGGACACGTTTAGCAAAAACACTTTGGTTTCTAAACTTTCCCAAAATGTTTTGACAAATCCACACAATTCAATATCCATAACTTGACATGAAAATCTTACAACTTATCAGAATACACAGGATATAAACAATGGACATAAGGTAAGATTTTTTTTCCTTACAAAAAATTATAAAGCCTGGATTTGTAAATGCTTACAATTTGATTGGCCTTAGAGAGAGAAAAATTAAATCAAGACAAAAAAGACTCTGAACCAATAACTATCCAGTGAAAACACTATGAAGTGAGGCACATCCAAAGAGCTTAGAAGTAAGATTCTCTGCCTCTTCTGGAAGAGGTACTAAAAGCTATTACTTACCTCCAAATTTTCGCTGGCTTGAACATAAACGAACAAACAATCTACCTTATGGTGGCCTATATATCTCTAAAAATCTAATCATGGTAGTGGGCAGCTTCTCTAAATTGTAGAAGAAAAGATGACTTTCTCAGAAGGTTAGTCAGTGGGCCACAAAGCGTTAAGGAGAATAACTCCTCTTGAGTAGGGAAACAGGAAGACACAGAGGCAATGGAAAAAGCATTGGAACAGGCGACGCTTTTGATAGGGCTAATTCTCGGAGCTTGGGAAAGGGACCGAAACATGGTGGAAATGAACTTCTGTGCAGTCTTTCCAGAGGCAAGAGAGTCAACAGGTTAAAAAAAAAAAAAAAAAAAAAAAAAAAAAAGCAAAGCCGGGCGGTGGTGGCGCACGCCTTTAATCCCAGCACTCGGGAGGCAGAGGCAGGCGGATCTCTGTGAGTTCGAGGCCAGCCTGGGCTACCAAGTGAGTTCCAGGAAAGGCGCAAAGCTACACAGAGAAACCCTGTCTCGAAAAACCAAAAAAAACAAAAACAAAAAAAAAAAACACCTTAGAGATTTGCTTCCGACACTGACCCAAAATGTCTCTGCTCAGCTTCTCAGGAAATAGTCAGAACTGTATGTAAAGATGTTATAGAGAAAGCTACAAGGTCACTGTCATGAGGAAGTGGGACAAAGTGGATGTGCAGCATTAGGAGATTCTGAAACCCAAGAGCCAGTGTTAGGATTACACTTCCAAAGAGCCTGTCTCAGATTGAGTTAAGAATGAAAACCAAACTATATAAAGGCAATAAAACAATGCTGAAAATGGGGGTGTATGAATAATGCCCAAAATCAAAGATCAAAGACATGTCTAAATGTTGGCAGTGATTTTCATGGGGCTGCAGATTACCATTATTTCACAGTTTTTTTCATGTTAGCTACATTTTCAAAATGTGCCAGACTCTGTATGTATTGCTTTTATATTCAAAAGTAGAAAAAAAAACCCTGTTTATTAAATCCCAAAAGGAGAGACAGAAGTTATCCAGTGAACAATTTTTCCCACAGAGCTAGGCATTTTCTTTTTAAGAAATTTATTATGTATACAGTATTCTGCCTGCATGTATGCCTGCAGGCCATAATAGGGCACCAGATCTCATTACAGATGGTTGTGAGCCACCATGTGAGTGCTGGGAATTGAACTCAGAACCTCTGGAAGAGCAGCCATTGTTCTTAACCTCTGAGCCACCTCTCCAGCCCACTTTGTATCTCTACACTCACACTGTAACCCAGCAGTTCCTCAAATCACCTCCCTCAGAGCCAGGTCTAGATTTGCTTCCCTCATGGAGAACACTCATTCTTTGTGTCTTCCTAACTGAATTCCAGCTCTGACACATCTAACGTTCAAGCACAAACTACCAACCTTTAATAAGGATAAATATAATTCCACAGTCAAGAGCTGATCCACCTCCAATGATAAACTAGTGAGACATGCTAGTCTTTGCCCTTAGCACCCTCCTTCCCTCCCTCCCTCCCTCCCTCCCTCCCTCCCTCCCTCCCTCCCTTTCTTTCTTTTTTTCCCCCCTTCTTTTTTTGAGACAGGGTTTCTCTATGTATCTCTGGCTATCCTGGAACTCTTTCTGTAGACCAGGCTGGCCTCCAGCTCATAGAGATCCGCCTGCCTCTGCCTTCTGGGTGCTGGGATTAAGCGCGTGCACCACCACCACCCAGCAGCAAGCACTGTTCCAATAAACATGCCAATGCCCCATCTCTGTAGGGACACTCACCTGGCCCTGCCCATCAGGCAAGAAGAGATAGGCGCCACTTTTGTCTCTCTTGTTTGTGGTTCCATACCACAAAAACTGCACCTTTATTTCATGGTGTTTACCGTCCTCTTTCATTCTCACTTTCTAAGGATTAGAAAACGAAACAAAAACAAAACCAGCAATTCGTTACCAAAATGCCATCAGATTGAGTTAAGAATGAAAATCAAAATTCTATAAAGGCAGGAAGACGAAACTGAAAACGGAGACTGTGAATATGCTCAAAATAAAAGACACTAAAATCTACCAGGACAGGTTAAAAATGCTCGGGTCGGGTTAGGGAGATGGCTCAATGGTTAAGGGTACACTAGAGGACCTGGGTTTGGTTCCTAGCACCCATATGGCAGCTCACAACTGACTGTTACTCCAGTTCTTGGGTATCAGATGCCCACCTGACCGCCTCAGGCACCAGGTACCCAGATACACACACACACATATAAGGAGACAAATATACACATAATTTTTTTTTTAAATGCTCATGTATCTTGGAAGGCTAAAGTAGAAGGATTATATAAGATTAAGGTTAGCCTGGGCTTAATAATGAGTTCCAGGCAAGCCTGAGCTACAGAGTCTCACCCTGTCCCAGAAAAGAAAAAAGAGAGAGTGGTGTGGGACTAAAAATTGCTAAAGTAAGCGTCTAACATTTGAGATATTTGGCTGAGCATCAGAATTTTATAGTTAGCCTTGGTTTTAAACCCTTCAAATCGAACAAAAAGTTGCAGTATAGTTCAGCAAGGAACAAGGCGCTTAGACTCAAGCTCCACACACTTTCTATAGGAGACCTGCTTAACTGTAAATGCATGAGCCAGCTTAAAACATAATGAAAGTGAACCAAAAATGAGAATTAGTTTGAAGAAAACTCACTGGGCATTTTATTCAGTAGAGACACTCTGTTAACCTCCTTTCCAAAGTTTCCATAAGCACTTTGAACTATCACCACTTACCTAATGGATCAGTGGCACCTCTGCACACCACACTATGAGCGGCACACCCACAGAAGGTAGGCAGCAGCTCACCAATCCTGTCTCCCAGAGGGTCTGCTGCAGCCCTGGGTTAGAGTACTGCCCCATCTGCACAGTCATGGACACATGTAGTAAATACAATAACCTCTCTGTGGTTGTCACAACTTTTGAGAACATACCTCCATAAGCCCAGATCGGTCAAACCAGACTGCAAGGAAGGGGTTCTCTATAGTTATGGCATCCTTCCCATCTATCATGTTCTTCACGTGGAATATTCCATTTTCTGTTAGTACATCATTATACAGGACGTAATCAGCCATGTGTGAACTTGGACTCTGTGATTCTAAGATCTTATACACTTTCATTCCCAGTGGTGGTGTATGAGCCAGAAAGGAAACCTTTAAAGACAGGAGATGGGGTCATTATAGAGAAAAGTTATCTACCAAAGGGAAAACATTTATATATGTGGTAAAATATGACATACTATTATTGTATAAATGCTTTAGAAGCTTGGTCAGATTGCCCACACCGCAGCTCATCCAGGAATCTAGTCACCTCAGGTTGGGAGGCTTACCAAGGGCATTAGTGTTTTCATCCCTCCTATGAAATGATATGATCATTCTTCAAATGTGCCATAGTGTTCTGAACAGATACCTGGAGGCAGAAATTCTCCAGGAAGGTAAGGACTTAATGCAAACAATGGTTTCTTCCTAATTATCAGGAGTCCTTTTGTAATGCTGGATTTCAGGACATTAAAAAGATCAGTGTAGTTATATAAATATGGCACGATCAGTTCAGTCGGCACTAGACATCACAAGATGTCCTGGAGCTAGTGGACACAAGCAAGGCCTGGAGGAGGGACTGTGTGAGCTGGCCTGTCTTTGGAGAGCTGCTTCACTTTCGAGGTAGGCTGTCATTTCTGGCCTAGTGTGGACTCTACTTCCCATTTTATTTACAGGACAAGGATTATTCAAGCTGCACCAGCAATGGTGTTTGAAAAGCAGAAGTAACACCCTCTTAAGTTGCTAGCTTATCATCACATCTCTGCAAGGCCTTAAATCACCTCCAGACTCCAAATATGTAAACGTTTCTAGTGATATGGGCTTCATTTAAAAACTGCTTATCTAAGACACACACACACAGATACCTACACACACATATACACACACACAGATACCTACACCCTATACACACACACACATACACACACACACACACACACACACACGAGGACAATACAGAGATACCCACGTATACACAGACATACAGACAACACAGAGACACTCACATATACACACACAAATTTACACACACAGAGGCACACACTACACCACAGAGAGAGAGATATATTCACACACAGTCTCTATTGATTGAATTTCATAACTAAATCTCCAAAAAAGATATTTTAATAATCTTAGTTAAAAGTCTTCTCTCCCAGGACATATTAAGTCACCACTGCTACGAAAAATGACGACTAACCAACATTACTATTTAAAAATTGTGCCATTTATCTCAGGTCCATGTGTATAATTATCATGGAGTTACATACAAAAATTCCAAATTTTATTATTTATTACTTTAGAATCCAGTTAAAATATGCATACTTTAAAAGATATACACGCCCTACTAGTAAAATGTCACCTGCTAAAAATACTAATATTTTCCTTTAGTATCATTTGGCCACCCAGTTCCATCTTCTGGTGTTAGACGATCATTCCAATATGACAGCTCAATGGGCATGCTGTGGGCATTATGCAGGTACAAGCTATGGACCCTGGCCACACTCTTTCCCTTTTGTCCTTTTATCTTTTGTGGTGTCCTTTTAGTTCTCTGGCCACCGCATACCTCATAGGCTGTTTGTGAAATCGTTCTCGCGTTATTCCAGACTGCACTGACTTGGACCTCCACAGGCTTTCCGGAATCAGATAACACTTTCACAGTAGCGGAGTTCACACAGATGGACACCACTGCGTCCCGCTCTTGTTCAAAAGGGTTGTAGACCACGAGGTACCTGCAAAGATAGCTGCATTGATACTGCGATCTCAAAATACCTTCACTTCTCTAACACTCTTCCTAAGGCTTCAGTTCCCAGCCATAGAAAGTGCAGGGAGGTCTGGCATGGTGGCATATGCCTTTAATCCCAGCACCTAGAAGGCAGGTGGATTTGAGTCTGGGGCCAGCCTGGTTCCAAGGACAGTCAGGGCTACACAGAGAAACCCTGTCTCAAAAGCCAATCAACCAAACAACAACAGAAGAAAACACGGAGGGATGAACGAGAAGGATCATTCTGAGAGAATTCACCAAGAGTGGCATTTCCTCACAACAAATACCACACAGTACATGAGGCAAAATAGTCTACTGATGCGTCACATTAATGTGCATATTAAACATTTTCTATATCCCCAAATGACACGTAAGTATCATTTTAGTTAGCTAAAAGAATCAGTACTCGAATGTTCTGGTCTCTGGCTCATTGTATTGACTAAAAATAAAAATTAAAAAAATCGTAACTTGTCTATGCAATTTAGGCATAATTAACTTCAAATAAAAACCTGACACTCACTTTAGATCGGTGAAACAGAGTAGCCTGCATGATTATACATGCAAATCTCATAATGCACACATATATCTTATAGAGAGGTCCCTCATTGCTATGCTCAAGAAACTTGGCTCTGGGATAAAAACAAGTTGACTTACAGTAAATCTACTTATAGGAAGGGCCAAAATTTCATGATAAATACAATTGAGAAAGAAAAGATTTGATGGGGACTCAAACAAAGGAAAATTAAAACTATGAGAGTAACTTCCATTGACATCTGTAACAACATGCAACTCTTAAGCATGAACAAAACATGAACTGCTATTTTGGAGGAATCTTTAATAGGTTGCACAAGCTCACTGTGGCACAGCATGTTTAATTCTGCAGGGTGGTTTCAGACGTGGTGGTTTTACTATTTGTAAAAGATATCTAACGCCCTTCGTCCCCTTTCCCGTGGCTCTCTGGGTTCTCTGGCATTGAAATCGTTCTCCACTCAAGCACTCACATCTTTGGCTTTCCTCATCCTACCTCCCTCGGATGCTGCTGCAGGGTTGCAGACATGATGCACACCACCTCGTGACAGACCTTGGGAGATCTGCATGGCTTGTGATCTTACATTGCAGCTCATTTACACCATAGTGTCTCCAAATAAACCAACATTCCAAAAAGGACAGACGTTGATATTGTTCACTGATTCACTAGTGAATGTTTTTATGATCTAAAATATTTTACTTTCCTAGAAAATGTGTTAACTGCAGGAACGGCAACAAAACGTCAGATAATAATGACCTCCCCTTTAATACATAACATCTATAGTCACCGCCTCCCATTAACACATAACATCTAGAGTAGTCACCACCTCCCATTAACACATAACATCTAGAGTAGTCTCGAGATAACATCTATTTGTTCAACTACATCATACACATGTTTCCTATACATCTTCATTTCCATACACATCACAAGCCATTCACTAAGAAATAAAGTACCTAACAGAGCAAAATAAACGATACAGAAAGGAAAAAATGAAACAACGATGACAAAGCACAAAATTTATAAAGCATTTCACTTATAAACTGCTGAACAGGAGATGTATTTATGCCTTAAATATTACTCTGGGATATTACAGGTGACATAATCACAAGAATGCCTCTAGTCCTGTAGGCCGATGAGTTCACGCACCAGGACAGGGGGACCTAACTCACAGCCCTGTCTCCACTGATTCGCTGGAAGTCCACACACATGGACAAGAGCAGATGAAAGAAGCCACCGTCACAAACCTATTTACAAAGAGCACTAACCATCCTACCACTCATTAGAGCCCTGCCTTAGCCCAAGGAGCAATTTCCAAGGAAAGTCAGTGTGAGCCTGGAGAGGGGTCAGTGTGAGCCTGGAGAGGGGTCAGTGTGGAGTCTGGAGAGGGGTCAGTGTGAGTCTGGAGAGGGGTCAGTGTGGAGTCTGGAGAGGGGTCAGTGTGGAGTCTGGAGAGGGGTCAGTGTGAGCCTGGAGAAGGGTCAGTGTGAGCCTGGAGAGGGGTCAGTGTGGAGTCTGGAGAGGGGTCAGTGTGGAGTCTGGAGAGGGGTCAGTGTGAGCCTGGAGAAGGGTCAGTGTGGAATCTGGAGAGGAGTCATTATGGAGTCTGGAGAGGGGTCATTGTGGAGTCTGGAGAGGGGTCATTGTGAGCCTGGGGAGGGGTCAGTGTGGAGTCTGGAGATGGGTTAGTGTGAGCCTGGAGAGGGGTCAGTGTGGAGTCTGGAGAGGGGTCATTGTGGAGTCTGGAGAGGGGTCAGTGTGAGCCTGGAGAGGGGTCAGTGTGAGCCTGAAGAGGGGTCATTATGGAGGCTGGAGAGGGGTCAGTGTGGAGACTGGAGAGGGGTCAGTGTGAGCCTGGAGAGGGGTCAGTGTGGAGTCTGTAGAGGGGTCAGTCTGGAAAGGGGTCAGCGTGGAGTCTGGAGAGGGGTCATTATGGAGGCTGGAGAAGGGCATCCGACAGATTTATCAGACAAATTTGACAACCAATTTGAACCCTATTAACCTTATTGTCACAGATTTTGCTTTGCCTGGCTGTCCTCTGTCCCCAAACATCCTCAGACAATCACAGTGCCAGGATTTGGTGTCACCAGCAGGACTCTGTGAGACTCCAAAAGTGCACTGAGGGAGGATAGCTGAGGCCACACATTCCAGAGCACCCTAAGTGAAAATTTACGACTAAAATCCACAGTTTTGGAGGCTTCCAAAGCGAGAATGTGAAGGGCCGCACAGGCCTGGTGCAGCCCCAGTAACGGGAAGTACACTGAGCTTGGAGACCTGCTGGTCAGGACTCTGGACAGAGCGCTCATGAAGGATGTGATACAAAAGCTGAAGCCACAGATTAATATACACCCAGAACACTAATTCCTTCCCACAGAAAATCTGAAAAAAATAAATCACACTTAATTACAGTTTTAAGGGTATATTTGGTTTTGTACCTTATGAAATCACGTTATACAGTAAGCTGTAAACTAGGTTTTGTTTTGTTTCATTTAAGTAGATAATTAGTATTTGACCATAATGATGTTTCTACTGTATTGAATGATTATGTAATTATTGTGCCAAGAATCTATTAAAAAAACTAAATATGTAGAATATTAATGAGTAAAACGCAGGGGTAAGAAAATAATTTCTAACGTAATTAGAGATTCCCAGCATGCTGTCCAAGGACATGACAATACAAATTTGTCTGGCATACACCCCAACTCCTAGTTTACATTTTAAGTGGAATACAGAGAAAGCATAATCATGAAGTACAGTTTCTCATAAATAAGTAGACCCTCCAAATTAACTAAATTCCCTGGTTAGTGCCACATTTGGCGGTCAAGTAACTACCCAAGCGGTAATGCCAAACTCTCAGCAGGAGTTCTTTTCTTAAATATATATATATTCCTCTGAGAACTTTTTACACTCTACTTTTGGTAAGACCCTACCGCTGAAGACACCACATACCTGAGAACACAGATAAATCAAACTAGTACTGATGTGAAGTTCCTTCCCTCGTGGACAGCTCTCATAGTACGGGAAAGTGCTGTACAGGCTGCCGGAGGGGAAAGGAACCACCAGTCTCACAACAGTGAATGACCTGGCAAAGCACGCCACAGCTGTAACAGTGGCACAGATGTCACAGGAGGAGAGTAAGCATGAATTCCTCCAAGCCCTTGAGTATGACCGGCAAGTTTTAATATCATATCATCACTTACCTACTTATCGCCACAGTAACGCGAGTATTACTGATATTCTGGAAATGGGGAGGGTTTATTTCTCTTTTACATAATTCCTAACTGAATAGAGAACTTGCTTTATTAATAACCACTTTCCTCCAATTCTGTTCACATTCGCATTAGCTCCTTAGACATATCTGTCACCACGTCATTTCTGCCCCCCCCCCCCAAGTTCTCATTGTGACACCAGGGTTTCACAACTTGGTGTTATGGGCAATTATTTCAATTCTTTAGAAGAACAGCTCATCTCCTGAAGAAAAAGCACTCATTTGTTACCTGTCAATCAAATTACAAAACAGGAGAATAATGGATTTCAGCAAGGGGAAAAATAACGAAAGGCCACTCGAATGTTCGTGTCAATCTGAAGACTAATAGAGGAACAGAATCCCACTGCTGAAAAGTGCCTGTCCTTTGAAAACCCACTGAGAAGGAGAATATTCAGAGTTCCTTCACCCTTGGGCAGAGATAATTGGCATCCTGTTAAGAAGGACAAGAGCAGCCATCACTGAATCCTCTCTATGGCACAAGCCGAAGCAGGGCCCAGGAAGCCCTGTGTGGAGTACTTCTTATGTCTGGGACAGGTCCTCAGGACTGCGTGGAGCCCTGGAAGGCTCAGCATTTCATTGTTCTCACAAGGGAGGGTCTGCCAGATCAGGTATGTCACCAAGACCTACCCAGCTAAATGCACCATATCCTCTGAGCCATTTTCTTAACCACGCTGCTTGCAGCAAGTACATGCGGGCCATTTTGGCAGCTGAGCTTTCCGGTGGAGAGTCCCATACTGCCGAGCATATGCGAATACCTTTCTATTCAGCTGCCCTAAGCATGCTCACAGAGACTCTCTGCTCAGGAAACTTGGCATAAGCAAAAAGGGTTACAATTAAAATACACTACACCTGTAAAAGAAAACTTATAACAAAAATGGTAGAACAAAGAAAAAATCCCTTACAATCTGTATTAAGGGGTTCATCTTCTGACCTCACTGCATGCAGTAAGCCAAAACAGCATTTGAGGAAACATTTTAGAAACATTACTTATTTTTATGACTGTGTAAGGAAGATCAAAATAAAAAGTATTTTTCAAATCCTCTGTATGTGCAACTTAAAAACATTTTAGCAAATGCAAAGAAGGGTCTATGAAAAATAATTGTAACTTGTTATGTGTACCATAGTGCCTGGTAATGAGAAATGTTCAGTAGATACAGCTGATAAATGAATAATACAGAAAATTTTAAATTGTAGAATTTATCATTTATAAATAATTCCTAGTAGTGTGGGGCTTTATAATTTTATCAGTGCATTTCATTTTGATTACTTTTGTTCCTCAAAATATACAAAGGTAGGTAATCAAGTCCTTTGTAAGACAGGAAACTACAGAGGCACCCAAGGTCACAGAGAAAGTCAGGAGCAAAGCAAAGGCTGGAGCATATTCTGTGTGATTCTTAGCAGGGACAGCACATTGACAATTTCATTTCAAACAAGAATATATTCATCTTCTCCAAGTAACCTAATTAGTGAACCATAACCTAAAGAATGGAGTTCAGAATATGGAAATACATGGATTCATATGATAAGAAACATGGCAAATTCTAGATTTGAAGTCATTTTACATCCTACATCATTTCTATGAGAATAAAATGCTTACAATAACAGTTACTAGGAAAATAAAAATATTAAAAACAAAGGTGGTCTTTTGGAGATGTTAGATTTCAAAAGCCAAATTCCCATGACTCCTGGGACCTGGGAGTCAGAAACATGGAAGGCTAAATTCTCACCATGGCATTAGATGATTTCATTTCTCCAAGATGTAGTAAAATGAAGAGGTAAGAATCAGGGTTAAACTAGAATGCTTAGCAAACCACCTTGGTAACAGCTGCTACAAGCAGACCCTGGTACCACTCATTTCCCCCATCACCTACATCTTGGCCATAGTAGCCTATTCAAAGATGCTGGGATAGCATCACACTAGACAGATCAATGAGTGAGTCAATCAGCACAGCATACTGTATTGCTGCTACAAGTGTGTGTGTGTGTGTGTGTGTGTGTGTGTGTGTGTGTGTGTGTGTGTGTGTAAAACATACGTAAATCTAGATAAGAGAATGACAAATGGGTTCTCACTGACACAGAACCAAAGGTTCTGGTGATGGTAGTAGTGAGCAGATTGGGGTCCATGCACTAGCACAGAAGATGCACACAGGCAAGGTAACCACAAAGCTTACAACCAAAGTAGGAAGAAAGAAGAGAAGAAAGGACTCCTCTCGTATGTGTGGCTACGAGTGTGTGTACGTGAACACACAGTCCCTGACATGGAAATACCTACAGAAGAGAGGGAGGAAACACACACAAACTGATAACTTATTTCAATATCAGATCAGGCAAAAATAGCTATGTTCCTGTCACATGGAACATACACAGATTGAGGGTAGTTAGGGTGATTAATCAGAAGCAATCAATTAATTGTTTCATAACTTAATTTTTATACCAAACTGAGTAGACAGTACAGAAATTGACAAAATTTTACTGAGAGAAATAAAAGGAGAAAAAATCCAAAATAATGTAAACCCCTCCCAAATTAATTCATGAATCTTATTCAATGTACACAGTAAAATAACATCCTGATTCCTAGTGAGTTTTAAAAATTAGAGTGAGTCCTATAGAGTAAGAGTTGAAAAGCTAGATAAAAAAGAGATGAAATCCTTCTTCAGCCCCAATTCAGCACATTCCAGGTTACAGTGACGGCATCTAGCCAAGCATAATTCCAACACAATATCTAATACTCAATGCAAATTAGAAATCATCTCAAGAGACAAAGTCATGTGACCAAGCACTAAGAAAAAAAAAAAAAAAACGCCTCATGACCCAAATTTTGGTGCAAGCTGATAATTTTAACACATCTAAGAGTACATCCAAGAAAAAAAGAAAAACATGAAAAAGCCCTTGAGAAGGTAGAAAATGACAACAAAGAAATCAATGCATTACAGAAAAAAACAAGCACGATTCCACAGGGATAAATGTGGGAAATGCACACAACAGATACGCTGTACACTAGAGTGTGCCCAGCAGGAGCAAGGTCAACACTAAACATCCCCATGGAGTGTAGACAAAACAGAAAGGTAAATGGAAACCAACAGGAGCGTCACAGGAAATCACTGAAAAGAAAAGAGTCCAATCCCAGAAAGGAAATCCACACTTGACAAAACACAACTCTGTGTGCCCCAGACAGACAAGGCACATGACAGGTCATGCTGTCCTCTCAAATCCTCAACATTCTTCAAAGCAGCCCAAGAAATCAAGACCATAGGGTCAAATCAAACAAGCACAATTAAGCCCATCAGTGACACATTAGAGACGAAGGATTAATATCTAAAGTGATTAAGAACAATAATAAAACTGCCAACCTTGTCTTCAGTATTCAGAAAGAAATTCTTTAGCAAATTAAAGGATTGTTTTAGACAGAAACTGAGGGCTTTTTTTTTTTTTTTTTTGTTACCACCAAACTTTTACTAAATGAAATACTAAATCCCTCAAGCAGAGGAAAAATAATCTCAGGGAAACATGGAATTGTAGAAAATTAAAAAGAAAAGCACAGCATAAAGGGAGGCTAGTATATAGGAAAACACAGGTGGAAATCTGTTATACAAAAGCCCTAACTCGAATTAGACCACACTAAATCCTCCATGCTTCTGCATGATAAGCACTAAAATCACAGTAAAATTATCTACAGCCATGAGTTGGGATGGAAAATGCAATTAAAGTGAATGCAATTAAATTCAAGCTCTAGGAGCGGGGGAGATTACCTCAGACTTAAACTGAGCCAATACTCCACACAAGGGCCCTCACAGGAGTGTGGACACAGGAAAAAGCAAGAGGGAAGTCAGGAGGAGGAAGACACTGAAAGGGGAAGACTGGGAGAAGAAAAGACAGGCTGGGGTTCTTCCCTCGGGCTGCCAGGAGCAATAAGTTAAAAATGAAGTCTAAAAGAAAAAGGACGTGGAGGAAATTTCCCAAAATACTGGCAAGAGCTATGTTCAAGAGGCAGTATTATAGCTGTTATTTTTAAAAAATAATTTCATCTTTCTTATGTAAAGTATTTATAAGTTGAGAATAAGAACAATCAGAAAAAAATGTACTTTGAGAATAGTTTTTCCCTTTCATTCTACTAATCCCTACTTTTAGAAATGCATTTAAGGAACAAAACAAAATGGATTAATAAACAAAAATATTCAAAGTTATATTATATATGTACAATCTAAATATTTTAAGTGCTACCCAAAGTATTATATTTCTTTTTTAAGTAGCATAATGGTTGAGACTGAGAGATGCAATTGGCAAATCAGATCATATTTATGGTTTACAGTATCAGTAACTTCAAAGTTCTTGAGAAAAAAATCAAAAACTAGAAAATGTTACACTATTAAGTACAAAAGGGTATTCTGGACTGTAAACAACAAACGAAGTTAAAAACTATATAAAATCTTAAAGAAAAACTAATTGATAATTGATCCTTCTAGGCTTCCACTGTCCCAGAACCAGTCCCAATGAGTATGAGGAGAAACAAACAACACCCAAAGCGACACTATCTCAAAGGCAAATGACCCACAGGTCCTTCCTTACATCGGCCAAGGCAGATACCGTCAACATTTTAAAATTCTACTTATGCTTTAATCTTTGAATACCCAATACTGGACCCCAATCACTGGAGACAGGCAGAGATGTGCAAGGTATTTCATAGTTCCAAGGACTCGAGGTTTCAAAATCTTTTTATTCCTAAAGCAGGATGTCAACATTTAACAGTGTTCTCATAAAAATCCCTCTAAAAGCTAAACAATAACAATCACACTTACTGTTCACAATTGATATTGAAGCTTATGCTTGCCAAAGGGAAAAACTAAAAATAATGGTTTCTGGAAGATTCTAGTTAAGTAATATGTAAGTATGTAAGTAAGTATGTCCTAAACTAAGAAGAAAAAAAAGTTTAACATTTAGGTATAGAAAATTACTAGCAATGAAAATTGTAGTCAATGCATCAAGTTATGAGTTCCCCGTGTATTTAGGAAAAATAACTTTGTGGACTAGACTTGGACAAAAAGACTACAAATTTATTATTCAGTAGAGAATCAAGTCCAAAGAGAAGACTTAAAAGAAAGGCAAGGGGCCATGTGCACAGTGATCAAAGCCAGTGCCACACGGCCTTTCAGAAGAACAGAAGCTCAAAGCTGACATCATCTTCGACATCCTTTGCATCTGCTTTATCTCTGCAAATTCAAGAGTCCTTGTTTAAATGACCCTCAGACATCAGGAATCACATGTTTTATATTTCTGCTACATCATCTTTATTGACTAGCAGTCAATAAATTCAAGCCTTAGGAGTATTTCTGTTAGTTTAACTACATAGTTTGGAAACAGCTAGGGTACTGCTTTTCATCCCATGGTACCAGCAGCATCAGTACCAACAGCAGCAGCTGAGCCTTTAGAGCAGGCGACCAGGAGGTACAGATCTCACCTGAATTAATCTACTTCTGCTTCACATCACCCCATGCCCCCTGAAAACCACGCCTCATTTAGATTTGGACAGAGCGATTTTGAACCCTGCTCAAGGACATGCCATCACTGAAAGGGCCGATCCAAGACTCAAACTCAATGAGGCAGCTTGGAGCAGGCCTTGCCGCCCTTGTCTCTCCAGGCAATGTTAAAGCACTCCGGGACCATGTCCCCACCACAGAGCCACCAACTACAGCCTCAGAATCCCGTAGCCCTTCCCATTCCTCTCTGAACAGCCGGTCAGGTTCTTCGTGTAACAACCCCACCTTTCAAGTGTAAGTCAGGGTGAAGAAGCCAGCCACTGTGTGACAAGGATCAGGCTACTCCTTGAAAACCTGCAATTCTTTGAGTAATTCCTACTCTCATAGGAGGTGGAAAGAGCTGCTGCTGCTTGCTACCACGCTGTGATGCTGAGGATGCCCGGAGAGTTCTTTACCTGGGGTATGCGGTGTTAGACAGATGACGCTGTTTTCCAGAGCTCAGCTTGCCTGCTCTGCTCCAAAATGTCTTCCTGGTGTGTTTCAGCAGACAAAGAAAACCAAATGTGACCTGGAGAGTCCTGTAAAACTCTGTTTCCACCCCACCGATCCCAACACATGCAGCAAATGAGACTTGTGAGTAACCAGCAACAGGAAAATCAGCCCCCAGTGACACAAAAACAGAGTATAAGAAATGTCATCACAGTTTGTAACAACAAAGGTGACTCCGAACAACAGTGTATTAACCCTCGGCAGTGCGCGTTCAAACTTCAGGGTTTCTGCACATCACAAAAATCATTTCCAAAATGATAAATGCAGGCAAAGTAGAACCACAATGGGATCTTGAAAATTTCATGAATAAAAATAGACTAAGGATTCTTACACTTTAGCCAGGGCACAATAGAAAAAGAAAGTCAATTAAAGGATAAATATTCCTTTTAAGTATTGCAAATCTTTTGATACTAAGTCAATTAAAAAGAAAACAGACAGAAAATTTGTATTTAATTTAGCTGATCCCAGGAGTCTTGTCACCAATCAAGTTGCTTTTACTCTAAAGAGTTTTGTCTAAAACAAAAATACCATCTGTTTCACCTAAAACATTAAGATGTTCTATTTTCTTGTCAATTCAGAATCACATCTGTAGTCATTTCCAGAAATGACAGCAAAAGACATTATATTTATGGGTGACTGCATAAGAAATGATTTTCAGTCAAAACGTAATTTTCATCTACTGGAAGGAAATTTCATTTATCTGAAGAACATACAGTACATAAACAGAATGATTTTCACAATAAAAATCATAACAGTTAACACGGCAAGACAAAATTGTGCAGCGGTTAAACACAGAGTTCATATTCACTTTGTGTATCACTGCTGATGAGTGAAATCTAGCATCTACAAAGTTGCCAGGTGAACAGAGGAGAAAACAATGCTTATGGGCACTGTCTGTTTTCCTGTTAGTGAGCCATCCTACAGTGTTAAAAATGGAAAAACTACTAAACACCATCCACTTTTGCATATCAAAAACACTGCTAGAAACCACAATGGTCCTAGAAAAGAATCCTCCCTGTGCTCGCCAATGACCTGTTTGAGGGAAATACAAAACACTAAAGAGACGTCTCTCGCAGCGCACACGCACACACACGGTGTCACAGCCGAGGAGGAACATACTCTTTAGAAAGAGACACACTTTAGAAAGACTGTTCCAGTTACTCAGTTGGCTCTGAGCATGTATAAGAACCTACAGCAAATATAAAACCCACGAATGTCTTCCTAAGTGGCCCAATTCCATACATAATATTCTTGCCTAAAATAAATAAATAAATAAATAAATAAATAAATAAATAAATAAATAAATAAATAAATAAATAAATAAATAATAAAACAGAGTAAGGCTACTCTCCAATTGGGAAAATTCAGTACAGCAGAAATAGAAGTGCTAATAATTTAAAGCACTGACTGACAGACAGACAGACCAAAATCAGTACCAGCAACCTCTGACACTACCTGACTTCCTTAGAGTCTTTCTTAGGTCCTGTGCAGTTACAAACTTCTAAGCATCCTAAAAAATAGAAATTGCTACACTCTTTGCTGGATTGTGTGGTATTTATGCTCATTCTGACTTCATATCATGAAGGATCAGAATACTTCATCATAATTCTACATATCCAGGTACATATTTTCCCTCCATTTCCTCACCCCACTGCTTACAGGTATTAATGGGAAGTTGCACAGTGCTGTGAGTTCCAACAATCACTTTAATTTCATCAGACCAACCACATAACTAAAATATATGTGTACAAACTTAATCAATTATACAATAATCCGATAATAAACTAGAACCATATGGCTAGTTAAGAAAGCTTGATCTAAAACATAATAAAGGACAATTAAAATACAGACTAACAAGGCCACTCAGCAGGTGTTCTTTGAACACTTAAATAATTGACATCACATTTCAAGGAATAAAACTCAAAACCATCATTTTAAATGCAATCTATCTAATTACTTCCACAAGTAAAACACAAAATAATTTGTTCCAAGGAATGAAATCACAGCTGACTAATTGTAAAACCTCAAGGTGAGTCCTTTAAAATGCAAGTGACAACGTGAACGTCACGGTTTCAGATGACATTCCTTAGAAGCATGAAGGAGGAAAAGTCCACATTGTCACCACTTAAAACCAAAGGGAGATAGTGGCCTACCAAGAAAACATTTGCTTCAAACTTCTAAGTGACAGCTAAAATGTATGCCATTCACAATTGCTTTGTTTAAGGTGAGCTATTGCAAACATTAAACTGCCTGATGGAAGAATTGTCTAAGAAATATTATTTCAGGGATTGCAACAATGGAATGAGAAAATAAAAACTGAACAATGAATTCTGATAACGAGCAAGCATGAGGGGCACAGAGAACCCTTGCAATACTTGAAGGTCAATGCTGGCGTGTTTCACGCTTGCAAACCACGGTACAGTGGAATCAGCACTGAGGTTCAGGGCAGAGGAATCGGCAGGGCTTTGCCGGCACAGACTTCTGGAGTCATAAGGTCTTCAACAGGTTTTAAAGGGACCGAAACTCGGACAGGAGGAAAGCCCACACATGGCAGGCACAGTGCGTACTTAGAACTCGGCACAACTCACAACAGTAAGGGGCATCCTGTGTCAGACAGTCTCTCCTCTCTGAAGTTGCTAATTATTTTAATCAAGGTCTTAATTTTCCAAAGCTATAACTCTATTCTTTTTTTTTTTTTTTTTAAAGATTTATTTATTTATTATGTATACAGGAGAGGGCACCAGATCTCATTACAGATGGTTGTGAGCCACCATGTGGTTGCTGGGAATTGAACTCAGGTCCTCTGGAAGAGCAGTCAGCGCTCTTAACCTCTGAGCCATCTCTCCAGCCCAATATAACTCTATTCTTTTTGTCCTCTTATCTACAAAATCCTAAATGCTCTGGGAAAAAAATATCAAAAGACTTTTTATAACTCATTTGGTGGGAAAAACCTACAAAGAACTCACTTAATGCAGTATAGGATTTTTTTTTATAATATTTGACTTGAACATTCAGAAATGTTGCACTTTTACACCATGAATAAATACTACTTTCCTAAGACAGAAACAGAAAACAACTCTCATGAATATATTTCTCTCTGAAGGCTTCAGGTAAGACCATGGAGACTGGCTTTTGCCAGCATCCCACACTGCAGATTCCATTTCAGACACCACTGCAAAAAGACATTGTGTGGGTTCTGAGGGAGTAACACTCTAGAAATCAGAGGGTCAAGAAAACACACCCCTACACCACTGCACTGAGAATGCAAGGCGACCTACCTCTGAAAGGATGATTGTGTGTGAGTAACACTCTATTTCACCATGGTCCTAGTACTAAGAGACTGTAACTCTCTAGGAACATCTTATTTTCTAAATATTTGAATACCCTGAGTCCCAATAGGAGATATTTATTCTTATTTCATGGGCTTTTACTTTATATCTTTCCTGATTCATAATTTTTCAGGATCCAATTATGTCTTAGTTTTGGAATAAAATGAAATTTCTCATTTCCGTTAATAAGTTTTTAATACTATTTTTCTACCTGATGTCTTGGGGTCTAATTGTTAAGACTTTTCTAGCTGTACAAAAAGCTCATTTACCCCGCACATCTGATGGTCTTCAATGCAGGACCTCAGTTAACAGTGTTGGGGAAAGAGCCAATCTAGATGGCAGCCACTGTTTGATCTGGTTAACAAGCCCGAGCCGGAGCTGCAGCTGCTGGCCCAACAGCAATTACGACAAAGAGAAACCCAATTTGCTTCAAGTTGGCAAGAGTTCTAGTTTGGGGGGAAAAAAAACATTCAAAATGTTGGTAAGGATGCAGTTCAGTGGTAGAACACTTGTCTGGCATGTACAGATCCTTCAATCCCTAGCAATACACACACACCACCACCACCACCACCACCACCACCACCAAAATGGGCATCTACTGATTTCCCTATCCAGTGGTGGCTACATGGCATTCTTCTAATCAGTAAGTCATTAATCTAGTAAGCGGCGATTCTGAGCAATTTATTAATGTTCCAACTGAATAAAAATCCTTTATCACTTTCTAGTTGGATGGCACACTCGATGATGGAGAAGCCCGAACTATCAGGGACCTACAAGAGGAAAAGCCATAAGCTGGAAGCGGCAGAGCTGGAAGGTGACAAGAGCCTAGACTGTTGATGACACCAGGGGACATATCATGAGACCTCAAATGCCTACTTCGAAGCTCCTTCATTGGACAAAATCAAACTTCTTTCTAGTGACAACACTGTAAGTTTCTGTTACAGAGGCTCGGCACAATACAAAATAAAGCATTACACTTACAAGAGGCAACATCAGGTCACAAAGGGAAACCAACAAGTACCAAAGCTATAATCTAAGAAGATAACACCGACTCCAAAATGATTCTAGTTTTCAAAGTTCCGACAAAGACCTCTTACCTGCAGTGATGCAACAGTGTGAAAATCTCTTACACTCTAAGAGACTGGAACCTCAAAGGCTGAGTTAGTAGTCCACCCTGAGGTGATTTAGGACTTAAAACTGCTATCCTAATGTGTTCAAAGTGTTTGTTTAATTTACCTTTAAGAAAACAATGTAACCGATACTAGAGAGACGCCTCACCGGTTTAGAGTGTAAGCTGCTCTTCCAGAGGACCAGGTTTTGATTCCCAGCATCCACATGATAGCCCATAACCATCTGTAACTCTGGTCCCAGGGGATCTGTGACTTCCTGCCTCAGAGAGTACCATGTATAGGTGGTGCACAGACATACATGCAGGCAAAACCCCCATGCACACAGAATAAAAACAAATCAAATAGAACAAAAAGGTTCAAAGAGAAGAAAACAATGTAGCGATCAATCGTACTTGCTTTAGATTTCCCATGTGATCAACTTGTACAGCAGAAGTCAACACACAGCTGCAATCTCATTGTCCATGGCCCCAACTCGGACAATGCATGTGCATCATTTGCTGAAAGCAGCAAATACAGAAGTTG